TAATAATAATAATAATAATAATAATAATAATAATAATAATAATAATATCTGTAAACCATCTTAGCTGTTTTTGTGTCTTTGACTTGAATTCAAAATCATTAAATATAAGTTATGATTACGTTTTAACTCAATTAATTACGGAGTTCTGTAGTTTTTGAGCTTGTTCTCTCGTTTTCTTTGTTCACCCACTCTGAGTCATTCAGGCAAGAAAAAAGCCCCTAACTCAAGGGATGAGCCAGTGTTGTGTCCAACTCAGCAAAGCTGCAGCTTAAACTGGAGAGGAGACTCACAAGGAAAAGATGCAAGATTAGAAGGATGAAGATTAGTTTATATAGTCTTCATCCACCTTTAATTTCCTTTAAAGTGTTCCTAAGTGACACTGATCGAGGATTTCTGAGTTCGTTCTGGGTTTTTATAAAGACATTTTTTACTTTTTCACTAATTTCTAGTCCATTTTTATTATTTTTTTAAGGCAACTTGAGTCAGAAAAAGGCCCCTAACTCAAGGGCTGAGCCGGTGTTGTGTCCAACCAGCAGAGCAGCATCTTAAAGTGGATCTTTAGGCTCTTTGTCTGCAGCAGCCTGTCACAGAGACACATCATCTGTTCTGTTTCTGGAGCTGATGGAGGAAAAAGGCCAACGAAAACACAGACTGACAGACAGGAAACAGATTTTCGAGGATTTCCAAAGAGCTGCTGGCTGAAAACTGGGCAGATCTCAGCTCGTGAGCAATGAGTCCTGAAAACGTCTGAGGAAAGTTGACCAGTGGAGGACAGAGGAAGAAGAGTTGGGCCTAAAAAACTCTCTAATCCAGCAGATGATAAGGATCTGAAAGTGACATCCTTCAGAAAGCATGTAAACGCACATTTTTTAGATTTTATAGGAACCTCATCTTTAATTTAATTTAATTCTTTCATATTTCTTACAGAGCAGAAGTTTCCATCACAAATTTGAATACATATTCGAATTAGACTAAACTGAATGTTTAGTTTCATCTAAACAGCCGCAGACTCCGTATACTTCTGTTAAAAATGTAAAAAGTTGACTCGACGGGTCTCTACAGGTGATATTTCACAGTTTTATTTCACCAGATTCTGTATATTCCTGTTAAAAATGGAAAAAGTTGACTCGTCTGGTCTCTACAGGTGATATTTCAGTTTTATTTCACCAATAAGGAGGACAGTTGCGCCACCTCGTGGCGTCAAACGATACTCACATTTAGTCTTTAAAATAATCAAATTTTTGACACTGTGTTAAATGAGAGATGAGTTTGTTCACTCTCCCATAGTCAGTAAGAAAATGACAGATTCCTCCAAAAATGTGTCATTTCAAGCACTCTGATTATCCTGAAATGCATCTTTACTGACACACTTCTGCTAATTTAAGTATTTCACTGATTAAACTGTTATTTAACTGTTAATTTAATTTTTTTCGTGGTAAGACTGTAAAAGTAAGAGCTTGAAATGGTAAAAACAAACATGGGGAAGAGCAAAAAAGCTTTAATGAAGCTGAATTAAAGGAGAAGTAAGTCGATGAAGTAATGGAGAGAATTAAACAGGACAACAACAAATGCTTGGGTATTTTTATTCAGCCATTGTAAAGAATTTGGGTATAAACATAAAAAACAAGCCGCGTTTTTGCTGATTGGTGCAGAAAATATCATCGTAATCAGGGAAGCTGCTGTCTGTCGGGGTGTAGCGTGAAACAGACTCGGCTGTAAAGCTGTGGAGCCTCCAGCAGCTGCAGCCTCATTGCTCATATTTCCTCTTCTGAGCTTTTAGAGGTTGAAGCGATAATCGGTTTGAGCAGCAGATAAACAATCAAAGCAGGCTGAAGGTGTCGGCTGTAGCATCTCCTGGTTAGCGCTCACACGAGGGCAGAGGCTGGTATCTGACCTTCGACCTCCTGGTTCTGTACGCCACCACGCCGCAGACCATCCCGACGGCGGCCAGGAGGCACCCCACGACGAAAACCAGGTTCATGTTCAGGGCACCGGCTGGAAGAGATAGATTCGGTTCAGACCTGGCTTCCCTCTGCTGGCCCTCAGAGAGAATCTGCACCCTTCTACCTCAACAGCTTCTCGACTTCCTGAGAGCCAAAGCTCTTATCTGGTGTGTGTTTCTGCTTTTTTCTAGATCTTTGGATCAGTAGGAGCTGGTAAGTTATTTATGTACAGTATTTGTCATTTATTTGTTTACTTTTGACTTTCTTTCTTTTTGTTTGTTTCATTATCTATCTATCTATCTATCTATCTATCTATCTATCTATCTATCTAT